ACCCCCCACCTCTGCTCCCTGTTCCTCCTCGTCCAGACCTCGCCCTCCCCCTTTTCATCTGCCTCTCTTTCAAAAACCCCAACCTCGTCCCCTAGCACCTCGACCACCCACCCAACATCACGCCTCGTACAGAACAAATGCACCCCCACCAACCTCCCAAAAACCTGTCCCCACGCCGGCCTGCTGTCACTTTTCCTCCCGTGTTGCTGTCCTGCTCCCCCCGTCCAAAAAATAGACGTCAACCCCCCGACCTCCAGCTTCCTCTCCCCCCCGCCGGTCTCGGCTGCCGGGGGTAGGGGCACGCCGTCGTTGTGCAACGCGGTAGCAGAGTTGAGCAGCATCACCAGCGGTCCTCCCCTCGCAACCCTGCCCAGCTGGACAGCGAGATTGGCCACGAACCCATGAGCGGCAGCTTTATCGGTCGACTTGGAGGTGAAAAGGCTGCTGATCAGGGCTGCCGTGCCCATGACCAGGACGGCATCAGGCGCTCCCCCCCCGCTGCCTTGGCGAAGAGAAAGTTCACCGAGGACTTCGACCAGACCGTGGAGGTCAAAGATGCGGGAGATGGAAACGAGGGAGAGACGCTCTCTGACTTTGGAGCCGAGGTCGACGGCCCCGCCAATTCTGGAGAGCTGCTCTGCCAGCACTTGTCGCAGCTTCGGGAGCAGGCTTTGGACTGGCAGGGTGGTCACTATCAAGGCCGTTTTCTCGTGGGCCGCTTGTGTGAGGGCGACGGCGATGGTTTGTAATGCGAGCTGCAATTATTCAGGTTAGGAGAACTACAAACCAGCGGGTGGAGCGGGAAGAGAAAAAAAAAAAAAAAAAAAAAAAAAAAAAAAAAAAAGGGATCACAAGTGAACGAGGGAGCATACAGCAAGAGAGAAGTCGTCATCCTCCGAACTTATCCCCACCACCGAACCACCATCCAGCCCGCCCAACAAGACATTTTGATCAAACTCTGCACAGCCGGTGGGATATCTTGGTTTGGTTTGCTGTGTTTGGATGGATCGAGACAATAAGGAGAGTGCGGTTTTGGGTGGAGGGATTAAGGAGTCGAATTGCGTTGTTGTAGTTGTTGTTGTTGCTGTTGTTGTTGTTGTTGTTGTTGTAGTAGTTGTAGTAGTTGTCGTGGGAGGTGGAGGTGGGGGTTGGGTTGTTGTGTCCATTGAATTGCAGGTGTTGTTGCCAAAGTAAATCAATTAAAAGCTTTATTTCCGATCAAAAGGTCCAAGTCAGATTCGAGTCAAGTTTTGAAAATATCACTTTTTGGTGTAGTGATTGTGTGGTGTAGCGAATCTGAACTGATGGAGATGTGGTTGAGTGAGCTTGCTCAGGTCACAAAGAAGAAGCTTTACCAGCGCCCAACTTACACAGGGAGCAAAAAGTCCTCCGCCAATTGTTCGATTGAAAATCGCATTTACAATGTCAAAATACCTGATGTTGAATATGGGGTACCTGAAAACTCCACTGCCCCCTTACCTTGGACATGTAAATGCGCCTCCCAACCTTTGCTCAGGAAATCAGAAAGCAACTCATGCTTGGCCAGTGACATGCATAACTGCTGCATAAACTTATCCACCGCCCTCAACACCAACACCGTCACCGTTCCTCTGACCCAGACTCTGAAAAGTCACCATAACTATATCTGACTAGATCTATTCCTCATAGGAAAGACAGTCTTCCTTCCAGATCCCCATCTCCATAACCGTTTCACCCCAACCCCTAATCCAAACACCGCCTCACCCACAAAACCCTGATTCTGACAGCCTGGGCCCCCCCCCCCTGCTTGCCATAAAACCCACCCGTTCCTTACATTAGCCCCTTTGATCTGCCCCATCGCCAGCCCCTTACCCACTAACCCACCAACTACCCACCAAGCAAAGCACCATAATCACAACCCATTGGCTCGACCGCAAAATCAAAATCAATACTGCCTACTCAATTCAAGATTATCAACAACACTACTACCTCTTACACAAACCAACTGTCCCAAAACCACCAGCGCAGTCCCCCTCTCCTTTTGCCAGTGGTTTTTCCGTGAATGTCAGACTTCATCCTGAACAACAGTAACCGAGTAAACTCTCAACCCTTCCTAGGAACCCCAGCAACAAGAGCGACGAAACAAGAAAAGTCATCACCAAAGCAACAACGGGTTCTATGTACAACATTCACCACACATCCCACACGCGCAGGGAGCTAGGACGCCTCTCGACAAAGAAAAGAAAAAAAACTGGCCTGTTCCTGAATTTTCTCCGTGTACTGAAATCAAAAACAACAAGCCATCCAACCTGATCCCGTCCCGTCCGTCTCCTTTGCACCACAAAAAAAAATTACACGGCTTGACTTCCTCTCCCTTCTCTTCCTGGTTGTTGTCTCAGCCACCATCCTCACTGCACGTCATAGACGCTCTCTCCTCTCCCCAAAACACCTCGTAAAAGACCCCATGCGAAGCAGTCGTCCCCGAATCGACCAGTGGTTCCTCTAAACCGCGGTTCCAGGAGCAGGAGGCATGCCCATATCAGAGCTGCCCTGGCCAGGACGCTGGCGCCGTCCGCCCTTCAGACTCTTCATGCGGCCCAAGATTCCACCACTCTTAGGTTGTGGGCCATCTTCGCCGCCTGTGCCGTCCGTCGTCGATCTCCGCTCGAGGCCGTAACCACCCTTGGGGCTGCCGGGAGACTTGGGCCCGGCGTTGGACTCCTTGCGCACGCTGAATCCCTCTTCACCCCTCGGTTGGCCATATTCGTTGAAGAATGGGTTGCGCTCCCCGTTGGCGCCAGCAGAGGCGGGTCCGCTCTCGGAGGGGGATCGGCGAGACCCGTAGGCTCCTTCGGGGTTGGTGGTTCTGCCAGAAGCCTGGAAATCGCGGGGCTGGCGGTTGATGTTGCGGATACGATGGGCGAGGGACTTCTTGCGCTGCAGCCCTTCCTGCATAACCTCTTGAGCTCGCTCCTCCTCGCGTTTCTGGATCGCTGTGCGGGCGGCCGGGGCGCCCTCCAAAAAGGTCGACGTGCCGAGCCCGAGGGATTCATCGCCGTGGAGGACGTTGCCGCGGCTGAGGGGGTCAAACATGGGCAACTCGCCCTTGCTGGTCGTGGGAGGAGCGCCGTTTCTATCCTTGGAGCCCTTGGACCACTCCCTGAAAGCTTCATCGTCGTGTCCACCCAAGAATGTCGAGTGGTCGGGGCGAGCGTTCAGAGGACCAGAACCACCGAGGGTGTTGTTGAGCGAGCCTTCAGGGAAGGCTTGCATAGGTGCACGCCGGCTGCCAGTGCGGTTGCGGTGGGGGTTGAGGGCATCGAAAGGTCCGTCGTGATGGAAGACTGTCCAAAGATTAGAATCAAAAGCTCCAGAAACAAAGAGTGCGAGAACCACATACTTCCTGTTCCATAGATGCTGGTGGCATCTAATTGATCGATAATGTCGAGCTTGCGGCTGGCGGGCTTCCTATCCTTGCCACCAGCCTCGCGTTGCCGACGTTCACGCTCACGACGTCTCTGATCCCGGGCCTTCTTCTCTTCCTCGGTCATGATCTTATCGGCACCGACAATGGAAGAGTCGGAATTTCTACGGGGCCTTCGCTGGTCCTGGCGCTGTCTCGGAGGGGAGCGGGGTGTGTCGATAGGGATCAACAGTTCGGCGTTGGACTGCTTCCGACCGGCACGCATAGCCTCTTCCTGGGATCGAGTGGGACGGTGGTTGGGCCCCGGGCCATTGCGGCTAGCATTCGGCACATTCTCACGTCCCGGTGGCAGAGGACCGCGGCGGCCCATGGGAGGCTTCGGGGCCTCAGCTCCCGCAGCTGCAGAGTTGGACTCCTCTAGCGTCAACGAACCCTGCGAGTCAAGCGGCGTTAATTCAAGGTTCCGTCATACTCTCGTTGTATCAATGGCGGACGCTCAGAAAATGACGAGAAACCTACGAATATTTCTTCGGCCGTGAGCGACGGGCGCTTATCGTATGACGACATGTTGTCGGAAACAGATCGGATATTTGGGTTGCTGGCCCTGTTGGCAATGGTGGGATCCAGAAAAGGGTTGCGCGAAGTAGGGCGCGGAGGAGGGTCGTCAAAGGGCGAGGTTGGACTTTGCTGAGCGGGCGACGCAGCGCGGTTGCGGAAAGGGTTGTTGGAGGGAAGGTTGAGGAACAACCGATCAGACTGCTGATCTAGAGCAGGGCCAGCACGTCAGTAAATCATCAGGCGGGCAGGTTGCGAGCAAGGAACGGTGGTGGATCGGGGACGGCGGCACCATGCATGCAAATGACGACTGTGAGAGGAAGATGAAACACCAATCTCCTTAACATGACACAGCAGGCTCGACGGCAGAGCGAACCGATAGAAATTGCCCAGACGCCAACATCAACGAAAACTGGGAAGTGGGCACACGTCCGCGCAAATCCGTCCCATGTTTTCGACCCACGCACCAGTCACACTTGACCGCCGCGTGTTTTGAGTTTGGGGGGGGGGGGGGGGGGGGGTGTTCATCTCCAAGGGGTGTTGCAGGGGGACAGGCGCTCAACTCACCGTGATCTGGTTGGGCGGTGGCCATGATGGGCAGGACACGATAAGGCGAGCGTCGGTGAATGCAAAGATGCGATAGGACACGATGCACGATGTGATGTCTGTGTATGATTGAAGGTTACCGTAGAGGCTTCCGAGAGGCGGGCCTGGGCGGATGTCGGGTTTTCGTGCTGCTTGTTTTTCTTTTTCTTTTTTTTTTCTTTCTTTTTTCCCTGTGGCACCGTGTCAAAAATGTCTGGCACTTCATTCATTCCTTTTGGTTGGAGCTAGCGTCATACCAGTTGTCTGTGTCTGTTGCTAGAGATAAGAAGGTCAAGTTTGGCCAACGGCTGTTCGTGGGGCCCCGGGCCCGTCTCTGTTTCAATTCCCCCTTCGAACACCTCCTAGGCAATGCTCCTAGCAGTTGATCTCGGTCTTTTCTCTCTGTGCTAACTTAGCAGCAGCAGCCGGTTCGGAGCAGGTTTTCCGAGATCACACAACAGCGACAGACTCAAAAGACTGGCTGGCTGGTTCGTCTCTATTTCGATCGAGATTCGACTGCACACGCTGTGCTCGCTCGACTGGGCGGCGGGTACTTTGACTTGGTACTGGTCTGGGGATGATGGGTTGGTTGCGTTGGAAGGTGAGATGGCGCGAAGAATAATTCACTACGTGATGCAGGTCGTTTTGCAACCAAATTGACTTCTGGCCGTGAAAGGCTTTGGGTTGTCGTCCGGTAGTAGGCGGATGTCCAATCGGCAATGTCGCGTCTGTCTGCAGCTGGCAAAGTTGAAGCCCCTGACGTAGGGCAGCCCAGGTTAGGTATCTCAAGAGCAGCAGACGGCAAGAAACGCGCACGATGGCTGCCAACAGTGGTCACTACCGTACCGTATCGGAGAGAAGGTCGAACGCGAACTGCGAATTGATTTTTGCGACGCTGCAAGGGGGGAAACAGAGGCCGCGGTTTGGAATTGTTGAGACAGAGAGGGTAGCGGGCGGATGACTGGCGGCGGACGGGGCTCGCGGAGGAGGAGGAATGGGTCTTGGTGGATTCCAGTTCGGGGATCGTCGTTACCAAGAGCTCACCACGCGGCCACACCGAAGCGAACAAGAGTTCAACCAAGAAAAGGGAGCGACAGAGCGTCAAAAGTGCGAAACTGATTGCTTCCAGCTTAGGTTCTGGATACCTTCTGGATACTTGGGGGGGGGGATCTTCCACCAGAATGTCGCGAAACAAAACAAGCTGCAGTTTTGCTTCGCGCCGTGGGAAAGCTGGAGAATGCTGTGTGGATCGCTCGCGCAGGTCGAGGTGGAGATTCGGGGCCAGGTAGGTGCGGCGGGAATCTGGGAATATGGGAATCTGCAAACAATTGCGCAGGTACGTGATGGTGGTGATCCTAGGTGTTGTGTTTGCCAACAGGATGTTACACTCAGCTTCAAAGTAAATAAAGAATGCTGCGATAGAAGCAGAATATTAACTCGCCCTCTCTCTTTGTCCGGTTGTTTGGGATGAAAAAGGGATGGGGAGGGGGGGGGGAAAGGTGTTGGACTTTGACCCTGAAGACTCCTCCTTGGGTGGTCACGTTAATAAAAAGTTATGGAACCACCAAGCTCTCCGTCTCGGCGTCTGGGGTCCGTTCTGGGGGGGGGCAGCAATCGCGAACAACCCTTTTTCTCCTTGGCCCTTCGCTTGTCCACTTGTGTCGCATCCAGATCAGCCACCAAGAACTCTTGAGAAATGAACAACCCCTCGGCAGTGTTTGTTTGCTACTACGAAAAACGAAGAAATCATGTCAAAAAGGAAACACTACGCAGAGACGACAGCGGTGGAGCGGACGACAAGGAAGGTCACTTCACGATGGTGGACTGACCGGCAACGGGGGTCTGGTCATTGGAATTGCGGTCCTGCCGGCGTCCCGGTGTTTGCTTCTCCCGTCGGCTACGGAGCCGAGAGAGGGGTTGTGGTGATCGGATCAGAGGCACTCAACGACAGCTATGGTAAAGGGTGTATATATCATGTTTATCTCCCTACCAGCTCTGTTTGGTGCCGCCCTCGTCAGCACATGCGTCATTTCTCACCTTCTCCCGAGCCATTTCAACCCCCAACGGTGAGCTGCAGGAGTCCAGGTTTCGTCCCCCATCTCAGACATCCCACCCTTCTTTTTTCACTTGCTTTTTCCTCCTTCTCCTCGCCTTCACTTCCTTCACTTCCCGCTCTCGACAACCAAACCAAATCAAATCGAGATCTCGGTGGCTGCAGGTTGGACCCTGAAGATGCAACATCAGCCGGGACACGGGGGACGGGGCACGGTGATGGATCGAGGACCCTTGGTCCGGGGTGTTGATTAAGTGCCAAGTCTTATCATCGACACAATTCCACAATTACCGGGCCCTTCCCTTGTCCGCGCCTGCATAAAGGGGTTTCGCCTTTTTTCATGCCGCTTGTGAACTCTGCCCCACCTTCCGAATTCACAACCAAATCCACAACTCCATGGACCCTGAACTGCAATATCGACAGGTTTGCGGCGGGGTATTGGGCTACGGTGGAAGAGGGGTCCAGCGGGGTATGTAATGGACTGTACAAGTTGTAAGCAGGTTCATTTCCGGGCCATTCATCGACCTCCAATTACCTCCCTATACACGTGGTCGTAGACCCATAACTATCGGAGTGGTGCCTATCATGAGATTTTCTCGTCAAATGATGAGCAGTCATGAGAACATTCCATGACACCAGATCTACCTCAACTAAAGCAAGAAAGAGCTCTGGATCACAATATCCCCAGTCCATAAGATGTCACCATAGCCTGAAGCCTCAGCCACAGACAAATGAAGCAGCCCAGATCTGGCATGCCCAACACCCAAACTCTGATTCAGTAAGACATGATGACATCTCCCGTCCTACCTACCTCCCACTTCTCAACATCGAAACTCACTCCGAGTTACGTGACAAGCTGACCATGTCGAGAACCAGACATTACCTCATCCACAGTGTCTTTCGACACCGAGCACGGTTGGACCCATGTTCGATAACTCCGATGTCTATGCCCAACCCAACACCGGGTGTATCTTTGTGCAACCTGCCTCCCACTCCCTCCCTAATCCCCGATCTCGAATGGTCATTGTGACACCAGCACCAAAGCCCGGCTATCTCGGAACTACTAACGGATCGGACTGAGAATGAGTAGGTCGGGTTAGTAAATCTCCGACCTTTTATTACACCAAAACCGTACATGTAGAGAGGAGTTGATCGGAGATGGGCTCTGTACCTACACAAACCTTCTTCGCTGTCGTACAAACACAACCTCTTATCTCACACAGCTCCTCACGTGGGCACTCTGTGGCGAAAGAATAATATAGGTTGTTCTACGCAGTAGCGTGGAAGGAAGCCAATGGCGGGCACACCCCTTGGCTTCAATAAGAAAGATAGACAAGGCGGCCCCCGAAACCGGTTTCTAATTTTGGGGAAGAGAGAGAACGCCGATGTCTTCTCACAGCCCTCAACCCAGGGCCGCGGATGAACGATGCCATCGAAGTGAGTCGGCTCGATACATCGCGTCGTGTTCGGTGTCGAACTACTGGGTTGGTGACCGAATCAAGAGAAGGGGGAGGAGGGGGGGCTGTGGGTGAATCAGTCTGGGGATGGATGACTTGCATAGATCTGGCACAAGCAAAACAACAAACACAGACCAAAAACGTGGAGAAACAACAACTTTGCCCGCTTGTTTCGACTCTCGGGCTGAGCGGTAATAGGACCAATACGTGCGTAGTGTATCACTACCTGACCCAAAAAAGAAAAAAAAAGAAAGAAAAAAAAAAGGTCATCTGAATCATTTTTTGGGATGCTGTCAAGTGTGGGTCGCGGCCCGAGTGAGGGGAAAGCCACACATCATGGGAAGCCCTTGCTTCCCCTCATCAAAAGGGCGCACCCTTGGACAAATCAGCACACGCGGGCACGACCGCGGGCCGTAAGTTACAACTTTTTGAACATGTTTCTCCTGGAAATGCCGATCTGAATCGGAAACGACGTGGGAGAGGCGGTGGGCGGTCCAGAAACATCTAGAGGCAACCTTCATGTCCGGGAGAAAGGCAAACTTGAGGGTGGTCTTGAGGGGGGCGTTCTGGATGCCTTCCAGGTTCCCTCCCATATCAGCCAATCGTGGATTTTGGAGAGTTGAATGCTGCCCCCCCCCTGCTCACGCCCTACGACCTCGTTCCCACCGCTCGCAAAAGCCGGGATACAGGGTGAGTAGTATACACTTCGGCTGACCCGTTGCAGCGATGCCGTTTTCTTAGCGTTGTTTACAGGAAAAGTGGAAGGTCGAGATGCACCGAAATGGAGCGCGGATCTATGTTTTCGTACGGGATTTAATAATAGGCGCTGATGGTCGATAGCGCCGCCGCAGGCTTTGGGGCGGCCGTTTGATAGGTGCGTAGGCGAAAGACAGACAGACAGCAACTGCAGTTTCCAAGGCTTCCATTTCCGAAAGGGCGTCGGGTTTATCGTTCGTTTTCAAAAGAAGCAGGCAAAAGTGTTTGACCCAAACTGCCGGGAAGCAAGAAAAAAAAAACACATGACTTCGTTATTTGCAAGTTAGCTTGGATATCCCTTGGGTGCATGATGGAGGAAGCATGAGTTGGAAAAGGCGGGCAAAGAGAAAGTCCAAGTTTGGATAATCCCACTTTCCCAAAAAAAAAAGTGCGTTTCCTGCACTGTGCGTCGGGCACGTGAGGAGAACTGCTGTCCGCCCACCCGCCTGCCTGCCTACCAGAAGGCGACACAAGCCCAGCGCCAACGCCCCATGAACAAACCCTGGCGAGCCCAACGCCTGTCGTTTCTCTGTATAATGCTCAAATGCGAACTGTAGGAGTTGGCTGCTCATGTCTGATGTCAACAAAGACACGAATCCGGATTGGGCTGCTTGCTGGCTGTGCCTGAAACGGCTGTTCAGGTTGCGAGAGCTTCGGTGTCGCATACCCGCACTGTGCGGTCCATGCGTCTGGTCGGGGCGAGGCCAGCAACTGGAGAGCCTGCCCACCTCTCGTCCCACACCGGGGGGGGGGGGTGGACGCCGAGCCCGCCCCAGCATGGACCTCGCCAGTCAGCCTGTCAGGTTGGCCCAGCCCAGCCCAGGTCTTTCAGGTCTCCAGCAACCAACACTTTCCATTCTCTCTCCCTCGCTCTCCTCTGCCCTTCTCCTTTCCCAAATATCGTCACCGTCTCCCGCCCTTTGACAGCAATAGCGCAGAAGGGCTATTCTGAGGGTAAGAAGCCCCCTTCCCCGCGCCCATTGTTTGCCATTGTCGTGTCTTGTTTTTCTCGTGCCTGGTCCACAACTGCGAGCTAACCACAATCCGCCCGCTTAACAGGCCCTGATCTCTGTTCCTTGCCACCCCTTCCACCCCTTCCACGGTCGGAAGCAGGAAATCCTTCCCCCTCCATTCGACAACTCACCTCACCACAACCGAACCCGTCGTCGACACATCGACCCCGGCCGACCCGCGACTTGATCGAACACACTCCCCCATTGCGGATATCAATAGGTGAGTTGGAAACAAGACACAGATGCATTTGTTGTTTTTGGCTTCGTTTTACCCCCCCTTGCTGGGCCGGCTCGTGGCCCCTAAGAAAAGGGCTCAGTTCCCGGTCCCGAGTTCTGGGCGGATGCGAGACGTCCTTGTCCGCCTTTTTCACCGTCCTCATATTCCGAGGCGAGACTCCCCGTCATCACGCATCTGATCTGCCCACTGCACCGATGTCCCTTGGTTGCACCGGGTGAAAGACTTTGAGTCGTTCCTTTGACTACACTACACCACACTGCTACACCGCCTGTGCCCAATTTTTTCCCTCATCCGGTTCTACCCTAAGCCCCCAGACCTGAAACCTCGAAACACGCCTAGGCAAGAGGCTAACGGCTCCATTTAAACTACAGCCTTTCGCAACGTCCGAACGACTTCAAACCCTCCCACTGTCGATTCACTACTGAATCTTCTCGGAGCGACACATGACATCCGCCAACAGCATGACTACCATGGTACGCATCCCCTTCTTCGGTCGGCGATGATGCATCTCGCTTTTCCCCATCATGGCCTTGATGGCCGTCGATCGGAGCGAATGAAAAAAAAAATGAAAAAAAAACATCTTGTTCGAAATGACAGCTGACATGTTCGTATAGGATCTTCGCGTCGGTAACAAGTACCGCATCGGTCGCAAGATCGGTTCCGGTTCTTTCGGCGACATCTACCTGGGCACCAACATCATCTCGGGCGAAGAAATTGCCATCAAGCTCGAAAGCGTCAAGGCCAAGCACCCCCAGCTGGAATATGAGGCCCGCGTCTACAAGTCCCTTGCCGGTGGTGTCGGCATTCCCTTCGTGCGGTGGTTCGGCACCGAGTGCGACTACAATGCCATGGTCCTGGACCTCCTCGGCCCCTCCCTGGAGGATCTCTTCAACTTCTGCAACCGCAAGTTCTCGTTGAAGACGGTCCTGCTCCTGGCCGACCAGTTGATTTCCCGCATCGAGTACATCCACGCCAAGTCGTTCATCCACCGTGACATCAAGCCCGACAACTTCCTCATGGGTATCGGTAAGCGCGGCAACCAGGTCAACGTGATCGATTTCGGTTTGGCCAAGAAGTACCGCGACCCCAAGACGCACTTCCACATTCCTTACAGAGAGAACAAGAACTTGACTGGCACCGCTCGTTATGCGTCTATCAACACTCACCTGGGCGTCGAGCAGTCTCGCCGTGACGACATGGAGTCTCTCGGCTATGTCATGCTCTACTTTTGCCGTGGATCTCTGCCTTGGCAGGGACTCAAGGCTGCCACCAAGAAGCAGAAGTATGACCGCATCATGGAGAAGAAGATGACGACGCCCACCGATGTGCTGTGCCGCGGGTTCCCTAACGAGTTTGCTATCTACCTGAACTACACTCGCTCGCTCCGCTTCGACGACAAGCCGGACTACAGTTACCTCCGCAAGATCTTCCGCGATCTCTTCGTCCGCGAGGGTTTCCAGTACGACTATGTCTTTGACTGGACTGTGTACAAGTATCAGAAGAACGCCCAGGCCATCCAGCAGGCTGCCAACCAGCCCGGTCAGGCCGCCGCCGAATCCAAGGACAACACTGCGGCCGCCCGTAAGGAGAGCCAGCCCGCTGCCCCCCGCGGAACCAGGAAGGTCGGCGAGACCCCCGAGACCAACCGTGCCGTCGGAGGAAGCGACAGGATGTGAGTTACAGCCCAAAAGCATTCCTAGTAAGGAATCATATTTCCTTCGAGTTTGGTGTGCTCATCAACGCTGGCCGGAGGGACAATGCTGACATGGAGTGCTGACAATCAGTTTGCGATAAATAGGCTGCGCTCGGCCGCTAAAGGTCAAGGCGCTGGCACGGGATATGCTTCCAAACAGTACCGCCCCATGGAGTGAAGCAACACCTGATACTGGCAATTTTCACACGGAACCCTCTTTCCCCTTGGGTTGTAGCATTAGTGGATTCTCATCGATTGTGTGTGGGTTATGGTCGACCTGCGGCCCCCACTATGAATTGTCCTTGATTTCTACGGCAGAGCACATTCTCGTGCTCTGCCGGGAGCGGATCAGCATCGATAGCAGATACACGCCTCAGCACCCAGTTTTACGAATTGCGTCTTTTTCTTTTTTCGTTTTTCGGCATCTCATCGGTTATGACCCCCCCCCCCCTTCCCCTTCCCTCCCCCCTTTCCTTCTGGCTCGGATGACTGTTTATTCACAAGTGTTCTCGCAAGCTGCTTGGCCCCTATGGCTAGGAGCTTGGAGAGGATTTCGGACTGGGTAAACTGATCGGACGAACGGCATGCCCGGCACTCTGACTTGTTCGGGGTGTCGAATATCGAGAGAGGGTCGGCTGCCGGCGGACCAGATTCAACATAATGCTGCGCAACTTGGTTGGATTGGGGAGACTGCTTGTCTGTCGACGGTTTCGAGCAGCTGGTTTTTCGGGTCGCCACAGCAGATTGACAACACAAGGCACACCGCTTTCGACACGGACTACCGCGCTCAAACTTTTCTTTCTTGTTTTTGTTTTCTGTTTTTTTCCATTATGCCTTTTCGTCACTTGCACTTCATCGCATCGGGATCCGCTTGTGGGGAGGTCAGGGGAAGAAGCGTTTTCTTTTGCAATGATGGGCAAGATGAGATGGAGATCTGGCAAAGCCGAACTTGCGTCTTTGGTGATTTCCGCTTCCCAGTGGTACTTTTAAAGGGCTTGCAGAGGCGTAGTTGGAGATCCAGAGGCATGTCGTTGCATTGCTTGGCAGGGAGGTTTTGAGTCGAGGAGGCTGTGACACATGGGGATGGCTGGTTGGGGGAAACTGCGGAGTGGGATGGATTGGCCGCTGGCGGTGATGTGATTCAGGAGAGAGGACTATGCGATCACGCACTAGCTAGTACTGTACCATCTCCGTGGACCTTCTTCGGAGAATTTCCCCTGCGGTCATGGTCGGGGAAGCCGGACGGGAATAAGTGGAACTAGGAAGCTGCGCCGGGTCCGGGTTTGGGAAGGCGACTCGCACTCAAGACTGAACTGGGGACGGCAGGCAATGCAGGGCGGCAGGTAGTTTTCATAAATTCAGGTCTTGTTTTGCTCTTCACAAGTCTGCAAGTGATTTTTGTGTGAAAGCATGACTGCTGTTACAGGATAATTCCCGGTCTGGATCAGGTATGTTCGCAAAGCGACCATTGAACTGAAGCGGGTGGCTCAGCCTCCTTTTGTGTGCTGCATGGAAAAGTCGGTGTCTGGTGTTCTGGTGAGGCTGTGTGAATGTCACACGCAGATTGCAGAATACGCAGTCATAGACCGAGTGAGTGACTTTTGCTTGGCGGGCAGTAACCGAGTACGTACACCACTCAGCAAAGAAGCAGCAGCTAGGCAGGAAAATGTGTATAAGAAGGGATGTAGGTTAGATACCTGAGCTTTTCTTTTTGTTCTAGAAGATTTATCTTTTTGGTGTGTGATAACTAATAGAATCGATTTTGATAATTGCTCCCTTGATTGATTGATTTTCTTATTTGTTTTTATTCTTTATTTTTTTATTATTGTTTTTTTTATTTTTATTTTTTTACGGGAGGAGCAGACTGGCTTTGTCAGGGTTCATTCCCACTTGAACAGCTCCCCTCACACGATTTTATTTTCAGTTCCCCAACTTTCCCGTTGCGACGACACAAACAGGCTGAATACGTTACTGACACACTTGTTACAACACTCCTTCCACCTTTTGGTCCGTACCAGATCTTCGACGCAAGCAGCGATGGGTTTGCAATCGGGGAGCACGACGAACCTCCCTCCCACGGCGGGCATCAACATTGACATTGACGTCACCGCTCCTCAAACGGCCACCGACGGCGGGATGAAGCTCTCCAAGGCGGGGGTGGAGCTGTTGGTGCTGACGTTTAACTGCGCGAAGAATGTCGTTGATGTGCCTGTTTTTGGGGGGCATTTGCGGGATGCGCTGCTGGGACAAGATGGTTTGCCCGAACTGGTGGTGATGTATGTTTCTTTTTTTCTTCCCCTCACCCGCCCACCCCACACCAGTCCGCCGTCTGATCTTTTTCGGATGGTTTCTTTGCTAACTTGATGGGTTCAGGTCGCTCCAGGAAATTGCACCGCTGTCATACTCCTTCCTCGGGGAGTGGTGGTTGAGGGGATATTACGACGCTTTTGGGCAGGCGTTGAATCTCGCTGCTGCCGGGCAAAAGTACACGCTTGTGAAGGGGAAGAACGTGGGCATGACGGCGCTGTTGGTGTTTGCGCTTTGTCCGGAGAGGATTTCTGGAACGGTAGAAGAAGGGGAGGTGGGGTTTGGGGCCGCCGGCATGGGGAACAAGGGGGCGGTGGGGGTGAGGGTGAACTATCAAGGGCAGGAGCTGACGTTTGTGGCTACGCATTTGGCGGCTATGGAGTGGAACCTCAAGAAGAGGAATGCGAATTGGAGGGCGGTGGTGGGTGGGCTGACGTTTGAGGATCCGCGGGTGGTGCTGCCGGGGGTGTTTGGGGAGAGGCCGGCGACGACGCAAGTGGATAGGTCGGGGGCGGCGGAGAGGTCGATGCCGCTGGAGAGGACGGGGAGTATGGATTCTAGTGAGGAGGAAGACGCGCCGCTGCTTTCTCCGCCTTCCACCTTTTCGGTTGACAGCGACGACACACCCGCCCTGACGCCAGAGCAAAAGCGACGGCTCCAAGACATCTCCATCTTCAAACCTACCTCGCACCTTTTTGTGGCGGGCGACCTCAACTACCGCATCTCCTCCACCACACCCCCTCCCGACTCTGCCTTCCCCAGCTTTGACCCAGCCTCCGAAAATCACCACAGCCACTTCTTCTCCCGGGATCAGCTCACTCAAGAACGCCTCGCCGGGAGGACATTCCACGGAATGTCCGAGGCGGAGGTCACCTTTGGCCCAACATACAAGTACGATATTCTGGACTCGCCAGAAGGGGCAGTGAATGAGGCTGCCGCAGCAGAGGGGAGCGAGGTTCCCTGGAAATTTGCCTCGCACCGATGGCCGGCGTGGACAGATCGGGTTTTGTTCAGCGCTGCCGAGGGGGCAGAGGTCGAGACGGGTGTGTATGGGAGTTTGCCTGTGGTGCGGAGTTCGGATCACAGGGCTGTTTTTTGGAGGGGGAGGGTGCCATTGCCTGATGGAGACAAGAAGCTGGAGGGGGAAGTTGTAGGAAAGAAAAAGCTCCCGGTCGATATTGATGTCTGGGCTTGGGGGAGGAGGCAGACGGCTAGGAGGAGGGAGCTGGTGGTGGGTTTGTTGGCTTTGGTTTGGAGTACCAAGGAGGGAGCGGTTTTCCTGGGGACGATGGCGATGGTGGGGATGGGGTGGTGGTGGTTTGCCCATGGGGCTTTGTTATGAGGACTTGACGGCTTGGCTTGGCTTTGTTGGATGGGAAAGCATACATGTCGCAGTGGCTTCATGGGGTACATAAGCAACGAAGATTAGACAGCAAAGGTGGAGGGAGTATGGAGTGCTTGGTGATACCCGACTCAGTTTTATTTAGAGGTGGTGTTCGCTCATCATACAATTTTGAAGGCTTGTTTGTGTTGTTCTGCGGGATGGATGTTTACAGGACTGGTTAGCAATTGCTTGTTGAATTCTCGATGTGGCTGTATCAACCTTGGGCAGGTAGGCAGCATCAATCAAGTAGTATCCATTCGTAAATGGCTCGGTTAGGAAGCAGCTGGATAACTACGGGGGGTTATTCCCACGCTCAGAGCTGTAATCAAAGCTCTACAAGACAATGCAACATCGCGTTTGATAAATAGGTTGTTCGTAGTATCTCTACCTCCTGCTGATCTCAATAAAGAGCTACAGTTTCCATCCTTTCATAATCCTATACATTCTCTCGCTTCCTGACCAACTTATACTTCCCCCCACTCACAACCTCCAACGCCCCTTCCTCCACCTTCTCGCCCAAGAACGACTGCAGCTCTTCGTGACTCCATGAAAACCCCCCTATAACAAACACCCCCATCATCATGGCAATCTGATTGATCGGCATTGTCACGCTCGAATTTGTGAGCATCCCCTGAATGTACTTCCAATACACCTCCCTCTTCTCCTTCTCCTTATCACTCAGCTTCTTCGCCCCTCCCTCCTTTGGCCCTGCCGCCGCCGCCTCCTTCTCCTTGCCCTTCTCCTCTACCGCCTGGCCCTGTTGAGCATCCTCACCCACAGGCACATTCTCATCAGACAGCCTCTCCAAAACGACAAACACGCCCCCATCCGCCGTGCTAACCCTCCTGAGCACCCTCTTCCTCGCCCAGAAGTCACACGCCGCCGCAATGAGATCCTCATCGAGCTGAAGCTCAAGATACAAATCATCCACCGCTTTCTTGACCGGCGTCGTCGAGGAATCCGATGACGACTGAAACGCATAGATAACCGTCGCCTGAACGGTATCGCAGTCCACCGTCACCGTTCTATCCTCCAACTCCAGCTCCACCCTCGTCTGACCCAGCTGGTTGAGCCAGGTGAGTTTTCTGTCCGATTTCAGATCCTCATACCCCTTTTCGTATTGCTTTTGCAAGTCGAGAATCGGAGCCGGGAGGAGGAAGTGCTCCTTTTCAAAAGCGGGCCAATACATGCGGGAGAGGATGCGAGCGTGGTATCCTGTGTCTTTCTGTTCTTTGCTCTTCTCAGAAGACTGGGGAGTGGCGACTGACTTGCCCTTGTTATCCGGTGTAGCCAGCACTGGGGGTTGCCCTGGGATATTGGCTGGTTGTGGGCCACCGGCGTTATTTCTTCGGATTTTGGAATTCAGCTTTCTTGATTCTTGGATATCTCTGATCATAACGTCGCACTTTTGGAGGGCGGCTTCTCCGAAGCGTCGTTTGAGGAGGTTGAGCACCCGCATTTCTTGTTCGAAAGATTTGGGGTCTCCT